CCAAAGTCCTCCCAGACTGTGATGCACTGTGGATAGGGTCTGGCCCTTTAGCCTCTAGGTGCAGAAATTTGATCTTACAAACCCTCAGAATTCAGTAGGCTGAAGAAAGGTGACTTGTGCCTCTAACATGTCTGGAAGCGCAGAACCAATCAGTTCACTCCAATGAAATATATAACTGTCAAATGGATAAGATGGCCAGGTGGTAGTGTCAAAGCCATTCCCAATGTGTAGGCTGCATAAATGTCCAGTTATTTTAAGACTATTTAGGAAGCAGAACGTCAAAACAAGAGAACTCGGTTGTTGACTACGTGAATATTTCATAGCATCAGACACTAACAGTCTAGTGCAGCCATATCTGCAGCTTGGGGACTGGGTTTACTAGTTAAAGTTGGCTTCCCAGGGCCCAGAAGCCTGAGAGCACTGGAACAGGTGACACAGCATGACATTCAGATGCTTCTTTTGCCAAGCTCTAGCCCTTATCCTAAGGGAATCCTCCTTCCTTCAGACATTGGGATAGTTTTAGTTGAATTTTACAGTCACATTTCTGCTTAGTAGATCATGTCCTGCTTTGACAGATTAATTCCTGAATGACATCTTGTTTCTAACTCGGGGAAGAAAGTGGGGGTAATGAGAAACACATCCACACACACCCTACTCCGGGCTGCCCTGATTTAAGTCTCTGAATTGCTATGCCTGGCTCTGTCCACTTTCTGTCCACTTATCTTACTAGACTTGTGATTAAAGCCAGGTTTTGCCATTCACCATTTCTTCTGTCTCTTCAGCTTGCCGTGTCTCTTTCCCTGAAAGCACCAGGACAGAAACCATACATGTAGCTGTGTTTTAAAGCAGCCTACTTCTATAGCTCTTGACTGGAATGCTTACTAGCAATGGGCATACAGCCCTATGAGTTCTGCTGCAAGTAACTCAGATTATCCCAGAAACTGTTCCTTTAAGAAGTCAGGGTCTCATTCAGAACAAACCATTTGTAAACATTTAAAACAGGAAACTGGACAAAGATTTTAAACAAAGATATGAAAAGTTTCTAGCATCATCACTCGCTTTCTTAGAAGAAGGTGCACAATCCTTACATTAAATCTCTTTTTAAATGGAGAAAAGTTGATATGTAAATCATCAACCACTGGAGAAAACATACAGACTTCCAAAGTATCATTTTTCTATGATTTAAAATCTTTAAATGCTTTGTTATTGCTTCAGTACCTATGCATAAACATCAGAATCACAAATACCCACCATGGTTCATACACACATTTGGTTTGTATATTAGATTTCTGTGTTTCTACTCTTCTTAATACACTCAAATCTCATTTCTGAAACATGTCTATTGCATTACTAGAAGTGGTTATATATTCAGGTTTTCAATCAACTGGTTTGCTTGTTTGGGTTGACTATAAATTTGTTGACATATATTGATGATTCCTCATTTTCTTGCCCAGGGATCATTTCTTCTACTCATTTATTTTCAATCTAACTTTCTTATTTGACAGTATCCTATGAGCAGCATAACAGAGCACTCCAAGCTCATAAGGAATGATGTAAACTAATTAGCAGATTTTATGATGGAGACCATTGCCCTCCCACTTGATCATCCTGTCTAGATAATGAACTTTGTGAAAACATCCAGCTCTTACTACAGTAAGGCAACAATACCACTCAGACAAGCTCTCATTTTGCCCTTAAACTTCAATTCCTAATTGTGGACATGGTACAAATTCATAAAAAACAAAAAACAGTATGGGGTGAGGGACAGAGTTAAAAATAAAATAGCCTTAAAAATAGATTTGAGTTAATCTGAAAGAGACACGTGCACCCCAATGTTCATCGCAGCACTGTTTATAATAGCCAGGACATGGAAGCAACCTAGATGCCCATTCAGCAGACGAATGGATAAGGAAGCTGTGGTACATATACACCATGGAATATTACTCAGCCATTAAAAAGAATTCATTTGAATCAGTTCTAATGAGATGGATGAAACTGGAGCCAATTATACAGAGTGAAGTTAAGCCAGAAAGATAAAGACCATTACAGTATACTAACACATATATATGGAATTTAGAAAGATGGTAATGATAACCCTATATGCAAAACAGAAAAAGAGACACAGATGTATAGAACAGACTTTTGGACTCTGTGGGAGAAGGCGAGGGTGGGATGTTTCAAGAGAACAGCATCGAAACATGTATAATATCTAAGGTGAAACAAATCACCAGCCCAGGTTGGATGCATGAGACAAGTGCTCGGGCCTGGTGCACTAGGAAGACCCAGAGGGATCGGGTAGAGAGGGAGGTGGGAGGGGGGAATCAGGATGGGGAATACATGTAAATCCATGGCTGATTCATGTCAATGTATGACAAAAACCACTACAATACTGTAAAGTAATTAGCCTCTAACTAATAAAAATAAATGAAAAAATTAAAAATTTTAAAAATAAATAAATAAATAAAAATGGATCTGAGTTAAGAAAATCTTGATCTTCTTTTCTTCATCTCTGCTTTTGCAACTGACGGAAAAATAAAATAGCCCTAATAAGATGTGTTTGAAAAAGACTACCACTGAAATCACAGTATATACGTGGATTGTAGGGAAGTTACAGAAAATTCCCCGACATGCAGGTGTGCAGAAGCACTGAAGAGTTACTAACGAACACTAAATAGAAGGCTGAATAGTTTGTTCTGGGGAGAAGATCCAGAAATAAGAGTGGAAATCAGTGCTGGTTCATTACATCAGCAGTGAGGCTGGCAAACCCCACTGCTCAAGTCATCTTTCAGCAGCAGGTGTGCAGTTTGTCCACTCTGGCTTATTGCCTTCTGACCAAGGCACAGGATGAGTCCAGTCTTCATGGCTTCATGAATGACCACAAGCCCTCTCAAGGTGTATCCAAATTCTGCAGTCATCCTGCTTCCATTTTGGTCACATACTCCCATATTGGAAATCTGACTCCACACTATCCATTTCAGTTTGGGTGTTGTTTGCTTCCTGCAGGCACTATTTGTTACCAGAAACACCATAGTGACTTGGAAGAATGGAAGAAACCAGAAGAGAAAGTTCTATATATTTGTCTTTTCTATGAAAATGGTTCTTGCAGTTTAATAGTAATTATCAAAGTAGAAATATTACAATGCAAACAAAAGATCACCTAAATAGGTAAAGAGACACAGATGTAAAACAAAGGAATGGTTGAAATGCCATTGCCAGTCTCTTCAGTATCCTTATGATTAGTCCTTTATTCTTTGGGTATGCAATTTGAAATATTACCCTCATACCTCTGTGCACAAATATCCCTATACAAGAAAGCATGTAACATATTTAACAATTTACTTCAAATTTTAATATTTTCCAGATAACAATCTAGGTATTGAAATTTAAAGGTTTTTATTGCTCTGCTCAAACATAAATAATACATTTGTCTACTTCACTAATACTGAAGGAACATTTTTTCTCATGATGAATATAGTAACCATCTATGATGGACAGAAAGGGGCTTCCCCGGTGGCTCAGCAGTAAAGAATCTGCCTGCAGCACAAGAGCCGCAGGAGCCCCAGGTTCGATCCCCGGGTCGGGAAGATTCCCTGGAGGAGGGCACAGCAACCCACTCCAGTGTTCTTGCCTAAAGAATCCCATGGACAGGGGAGACTGGCAGGTTCATGGAGTCACAGAGTCAGACTCGACTGAAGTGACCTGGCATGCACACATGATGGACAGTAAAAAAATTATAAGAATGCATTATAATAAAAGAAAAGCTATACCCCTGTATAGAAATTGTAGGAGATAATCTGTTTCATAAAAATAGTAATTTATTCTCAGTCTTCCATTGCTGGAAAAAACCATACTGCTGACCAATTACTGTGGTCCTGAAAAGCATTATTATTTTTATACTTTGGAGGCCATGCAACATGGCATGTGGGATCTTAGCTCCCTGAACAGGGATCAAACCTGTGCCCCTTGCATTGGAAGCTTGGAGTCTTAACCACTGGACCTCCAGGGAAGTGAAAAGTCAAGAGACTTATATTTCTCATACTTTAGGCAAGAATCTTAAAGTATATCAGGTCTCAGATTATAGAAGAAACTCAAAAAAGGCAAAACTTTACATTATAAAACGAACATGTAAAGAATCAAAAGACTGCTTAGAGATGGTATTACAAACGGGAAGCAAATGTATTTAAACTAACAAAGGTCAGGAAAAGTATGTACTATCTTTATAGAAACATGAGATATCAAGACTTAATGACAGAGGAAAGGGTTCATTTTAGAACAGAAGTTTTTTCTTTATCATAAGTTTAAGTTTCCCATGACATTGTAAACATAGGCCAAATATTATGAATTAGAATATACTCACAGCATTTAGAAATACTGTGTTAGGATCTATATAAGTGATTCTGAAATAACATCTGCTCTTTCAATAGCATTATTTAGGCAATAAGAAAATGTGCGGGTGCTAGGAAAATTCATGTTCACTGAGGTGAAAAAAGCCTGAAAGAATACATTTGTTGAAATTTGCATTTGGTTTGGAAAACTTCTGTTTAGCAATTGAACACGGCCATATTTTAACTTTTAAGCTCCCACATGGAGAGAGTGTCAAGGCACTGCAGCAATTTACTTTTAGGGACATTATGCGGGGTTTTGAAATTCACAAAATAGGATATTTCTTCCTGAATTATTTTATGATCAATGTACTGTCTCTACACAAGGAAAGTTAAAGCTGTCTGACAACTCATAGAAACATTACTGGCTCTTAAAGATGTAGGAAATTACATAAAAGCATGAAAAGCACTGGGTAATTTTGCAGTTTCATCTCGAAACACAATTGAAAGACATCTGTCTTTCAGTTCTTTCTCTGTCTTTCTTCTGAAATATGGCCTTTTAATTCTTGCCCTTTTAAATATTTTTGCCTACTGTAGCTTTGCTTCTTAATATCCTGGTTGATCTTACCAGGCTAAGAAAGTATTTACAGGGGATGTTGCTTTTATCTGTATTCACAGAGAATGCTAACAAATTAGAAGAAAGTGCCAGAGAACACCACATACCTTGCCCAGAACACTACAATGGCTTCTGCATGCATGGGAAGTGTGAACATTCTATCAATATGCAGGAGCCATCTTGCAGGTAAGAATTTCACCCTTTAACTTTTAAATGCATAAAGTAAAAATATAGAAACTAAATTCTGGATGGTATCTGCCTGAGTGGGTGATCAGCAGCCACTCTTTTTTCTGCCTCTCCTACACACACACACACACAAGAAAACAATATCTGTGTACCTTCCATACCCAAGTACTATGTAACACATCATTATATACACTGTGCTGGTAGAATTTTAAATTGTACCTTGGGCATTACAAGTTCCTTAAAGTCACAGCCTCCTCTGGTTCATTCACCACTCTTTCCCATGGATGCAGAGCAGTGCTTGGAACAGATTAGAGACTTGACAAATATTTCTCAAATGACTGGATGAGGCCTCACTCTTAAGTCTGATAACATGGTTGCTTTGGGTAGGTCATCTTTTCCAAACTAACGGCACATACAAGTGGCAAATGGTGAAACAGGTTGCATATTGCTATACAGGGAAAGGAGTGTCTCTCTCTTTTTCTCTTCCCTCCCTTCTCCCCCTCCCCTTTTCATCTCTTTCCCCTCCTCCTTCATTTTCTTCATCTTATCCTTCTTTCTTCCTTCCTTCCTCTCTCTCTCTTTTTCTCAAGATCTGTCTTCCTTTCACATTTTCCTCCTGCCTTCCAGCAGCGTCGGGCAGACTGAGGAGCGGCTCCCACTCTTCTGTCCTTCTCAGCAGAGCTCTCATCATTAAATCCTCCTGATGCAGAAACCACAGGTCCCAGGGTATAGTTATGAGACATTCAAAGTGAGGTACTGAAATGGTTGCACAAAGTCAATGACAAGTTGATCCCCACTAGAGTTACTCTCATGTGAGCTGTTTCCTCATTTCATGGTCAACTGCTGATTCTAACACATCTACCCGAGCTTTCTGATGAGGGCTGATTGACAGAGAGGCAGTCTTCATTCTCAGACGACTACACATGGGCTTGTTTTGCTAAACCTTGTTGCCTACATTGTAATTACCTTTTTACTACTGAAATTTAACTCTCTAACATAAGCAGACAACTTTATGACCAGTAAATTAAAGAAATCAGTCTTGCTGTACCTCTGGCCCTAACATATCTTTTAACACATTCTAACTATTCAATAGAGAATGCTTTATCCAAAAAATAAATAAATAGCATTATTTTTTATACTCATGTCATCAGGAACAAGCCTTTTCCCAAGTAATTATGTTGACTTAGGTTAATTAAAGAGCAAGTTAAATAAAATGTAAAGCTCACCTGAAAAAAAATAGAAAGAACAGTTATTCCTGGGCTTCTATCATCTCCCTATACTATCACTATCATCTACCAACCCTCCTATCTTCAAACTCTATTATTATAAGTATAAAAAGAAACCACATATCTTTGAAATAAAAAACACAAAGATATCTTATTGAAAATAAGTATTTGAGAAACAAATCTACAAAGTACTATTTTTTAAAGGCAGGAAAAGGAAACAAAAGGCCCTAATTTCAAAATGAAGAGAAATGGCCATAGGCCAACTATAAAAATGAGTACAGCAGCTTTAGGTAACTGGACGCTATCATTTATTCCAGGTGTGATGCTGGTTATACTGGACAACACTGTGAAAAAAAGGATTACAGTGTACTGTATGTTGTTCCTGGCCCTGTCAGATTTCAGTACGTCTTAATCGCAGCTGTGATTGGAACGATTCAGATTGCCGTCATCTGTGTGGTGGTTCTTTGCATCACAAGGTCAGTAACTACACTCAATGGTCACCCACATAAAGGGATACATCATTCCTCCTTGTCTGAGTCAAATCACTCTAATTACAGGTCCCTTCATGGACTCCACAACCATCCATTCTCTAGAGTCCTATTTCTTCATCATAACATTTAAATAGCCAAATGGAAAGACAATGACTTTCCTGCTGGAGTAGTACAAATTTTTTCCTTATTTTTACATTTTGATGAGGATTATTTATTTTCTAAGCAAAGACCTTTTCTTTCCTCTTCTAATGTGTAATGCCAGTCTTTGTTTAAATATGCTCTTCACTTCTAACTATAAAGTCAGTCTTCATTCAAACTACTAACAGACTGTTTAAATGACCAGCATTTCCTTACTCACGCTTCCTAGTGGCTCAGAAGGTAAAGAATCCACCTGCAATGCAGAAGACCCAGGTTCAATCCATGGGTTGGGAAGATCTCAGCATGCCAAATAAGATCAGAATAGATTTTTTAGAAGACCCAGAAAAATATTAAATTATAGCTCTCACTTATAGCACTTATATTTCTAAGTATAACTCTCAGATATAACCGTTTTTAACTTATTTGATATAAACAACAAATTCATGTTTATCTTAACTTAGCAAAATAACTTTAATCACAAAATTCAAAGAAAATAATTATGGTGAGAATGATCATGTTGTAGTACATGAAAACGTGGAAACACACAGCAAATTTCACAAGAAGCTTTCATATCAAACCCCAGAACAATCAAACAGTAATTATTTCCTGGAGAGTTGGGTTGAGAGCAATACAGAGATCTCATCCAGTTTCAACAGAAAAAAAGAATAATTACTAATCTCTGACAACAGGCTTGGAGTAGAGGACAGAGCCCCGGTAAGTGCTTAACTTCATTAGCGTGTAAATTCATGGTAACCAAGAAATAAATTCCAGACCAAATGCATATTATTTATATCCTGGTCTAACCAGAAATGTTATTGAAGATATTCTGTTCTGATCTGATTTCACTCTGCTCAAGAGAAGAGTTCCAAGGAAGTTTTTCAAGGTTTCTGCCAAATTCACAAGGCATTTAGACTTTCAATCGTTTGTGCAGCTCTACAGTAAATCAAAATGTTTCCCAAAAAATTATTTTCAGAAGACAAGAAAATAAAAGTATCATATCTGTAGAAAATAAAAGTCCTAATATATCTCAGTATCTGTATTGTGCTATCTTCTTTGAGGACAAGTGTGGCATTTGCTCTTGAAAAAAGACAAAATATGGTTCATAAATCCTTCCCTGGCCTAGAGGCTTAAGGGAAGATCATCAACGGGAGCTGTGTGCTACTCGAAGCCAAGTTGAGTTCATCAACTCGACTCTCATGTTTAGATGCCAAGTGAGTCAATGGATTACATTAAAATAGATTCTGGGGAGTGTAAAAATAACTTAAATCAAAAACACTAAGTGTAAAAGAAAAGATAGAAAAGCATCTAAAACACAGGAAGTTGTGCCATATTACTCAAAGGGTCTTGAGCCTTCTAATATCTAAGCAACATCAGCATATGAAAAATGAAATTCATATGTAATAGATCTAATCTCATAATTTGATTTGCTACTTCATGTACTAACAAAAATGCAGAACTTTCAATGCTTGAGCAGATGTTTAAAAGTCTTATTAATCACAGTTTCAGTTCCATACATAATAAAAACTGGGATACATAGGGTCCTTATCTCCCCAGAAATTGTGTGTCTCTATGTGTGTGTGTCTGTGTGTGTGTGTCATATATGTGTACACACACACACACACAAATAAATATACATGTGAAAACTTTATGAAGAGGGAACAATTATCCCCATTTTCAAGATAGGCACTCTGAGGTATGAGAGGTCAGCAAGCTGCTGAGTGTACACAGGTTAGCAACCAGGGCAGAAATGAAGTCTAGGTCGCCTAATATCAGAGCTTGTGCATTTCATCATCACTCATACTGCCCCTTTCACTGGTCATGATGTTTGTATTATGCTATTCAAGATAACCTAAATTGAGCCCCACATTAGGCTGGCCACTTTTTTAGGCACACATCTGTTTTCACTTTCCATGTAAAAACAAAATCTATCTTCTCTTTACTTTTGAGGAATGTGGCTTCCAGCTCCATGTTCATTTTGACAGATCTACTTCCCTCTCCAAATCATATATATATACATATATACACTATATACATTTATTCATATATGAACATATATATGAATATGTATTTTCTGATACTACATAGGCTGTTATAATAGGATTTTATATGAACTCTATATAATTATTTTTATTTGTATCATCAAAGCATTGCTTTATCATAAAAGATCAGAGCTCTTTAAATAATTTGAATATTAGCCTTGTATAGAAGCTAAATAATCAGTACCAATTTATGTCTCTAGCTTATAGTATTCATATACAAAAATGATATTAGGTTGAACCAAAACAATATCCCTTTTCTTTACAGATCCTATATTAACAGTTGGCTCATTATCTGGTTTGATAAAATTTAAACTTTTAGCATTGAAATGTCAATATAACATTCACCCTTGGGATGTTTAAAATATAAAGTTGTTGAAGACTTTCAAGTGAGATTAGATGGGCTCACACTTGCTTGATTGCATTGTGCTGAGTCATTCTTCTTGCCTTAATGAGTAAGCAGTCGCAAACTAGGTACATGTATTCCTCTTGAACTCCCATCTCTGTTCTTCAGTTCTCCTTCATAGACACTTAAAGACAACTGCAAGGAGAAGCAAAAACAAAACCAAAAACCTCTTCCAAAGTAATTCCAGCTTCTGCTAATAATAAATTCTTACATCTGAAATATTTTAATGATTTTTCTTAATCTACAACTTCACTCTGTTTTTGTGGGACTGGACTTCAGGTAATAGCACTGGACTAAGATTTGTAAACTTTCCAACCTTCTAGGAAATGCCCCAGAAGCAACAGAATTCACAGACAGAAGCAAAATACAGGGCACTACAGTTCAGACAACACAACAAGAGCGTCCACGAGGTTAATCTAAAGGGAGCATGTTGCACAGTGGCTGGACTACCGAAAGCTTGGACTACACAATACAGTATTATAGACAAAAGAATAAGACAAGAGATCTACACATGTTGCCTTGCATTTGTGGTAATCTACACCAATGAAAACATGTACTACAGCTATATTTGATTATGTATGGATATATTTGAAATAGTATACATTGTCTTGATGTTTTTTCTGTAATGTAAATAAACTATTTATATCACACAATATAGTTTTTTCTTTCCCATGTATTTGTTATATATAATAAACACTCAGTGATGAGAAAAAATTGGCATTCTTAAATTTGCAGTATCTCATAACTGTAAATATCATCAAGCTAGTACCTCTGTACAGGTATCAGTATTTTATCTTTCTCCACATCTTGAGACAAAGCATTAGTTTATACAGGACTCAGTGGCTAGGTTTTGAGTGATTCCAAGATCAAGGAAAATGATGGTTATTGGAAAAGAGAAAAAATAATTTACTTTATATCGAGTGAGGATAAAATATTTCAGATATTTGAATCATCTCTGTCTCATCAACTTTCTTCCCTGGTCTTCCATTTTCATCCCCAGAGCAGAAAAATCTCTGGCAAATAAATTAAAGAAGAAGGGGAGGAAAAGTGTTTTATAACTCATAAAGGAGAGAGAAAAAAGATATTGGTTTTTATTTGGGAAATACCTTAGACTCTTCCAGTTAAGTGCATATATATGAAAGGTCCTGAACAAGCTACATATTAGGAATGCACAGAGCACAAAATCTATTCCATTTAGGTGCATGGAATTAACAACTAGGGAAAATTTTTAATAACATCATTAAATGGGTAACACCAAATCATGAATTCTCAGAAGCACCTTGCTATATTTATAGTATATGGTTCTTTAAAAATAAGTTAGAATCACAACCAAATACCTCATGAATAACTTTATGGCTAATGCAGCAGCATTATTTGAAATGGAACTAAGATGATAATATTTCATAAAAACAGATAAATGTGATAAGAATGAAAATTAATCCCATAGCATATGAAAGACCTTAGTGGGAAATCGATATAGATTTTTGAGCATATAAATAGGCATGACCATTTTGGAAAAAATAAACTGTAAAAATTCTCAAGGAATAAGATGAAAATAACAAATCAAATAATTGCCTTATTATTATTTAGATGTTCACAGCTTTCTGTGGTTAACACAGTAATCTAAAGAAAGCTTTCTTTGTCTCCTTCAAATGACCTCTGCATATACTGAAAGGAATGACACTTCTGTGGCCACACACACACAAAAAAAGGACAAATGTCAAACCAACACATTCTGAAAATAAAATATTCAGTGAAAAATAAGTTTCCTGAAGTGATATTTAAGATATTTGTTAAAACATTTTTTAAAGGTGACAGCCTAAATAGGATATAGGACTCTGTGGAAAAATCTGCTTTTCTAGGTTAGTCATCACTTTGAAAAGTGTGAATCTATAGACATAACCATCATTCACATGTTTCCATAAATTGGTCATAGGCTATCTGTACAAACAAACTCTATTTAAACTTCCACATGGAATTTTAGTTTCATCACCAGGTACAGAGATGTAACTAGCTGTGATCCCCTTTGTGTAAGACAAGGGTTGTAGTAAACCTTTCCTTCTCCTAAGGGAAGAATAAAAATGCAACATCACAGAGCTTAGCAAAGTTTGAAGGGAACAACAATTCCACTGACTTTTACTTGTAATAGCATGAAATGACTTGCTTCATTAAATATTGATACATTACTTTGCTTATCAAAGGATCATAAACCTAAGTGTTCCAAAAGCCCTTGAGTTCATAATACAGTATATTCCTATTCACTTCCATGCTCACCCAACCCATGAAAGAATTCTTTTTAAAAAGACACATAACAAATCTTAAGAGAGCATATACTATGTGCCAGGCATTATCCTGGGACTTCCCTGGTGACTCAGGGGTAAAGAATCCACATGCAATGAAGGAGACATGTGCAGGAGATGCGGGTTTCATCCCTGGGTCCGGAAGATTCCCTGGAGAAGCAAATGGTAATCCACTCTATAGTTTTCTTGCCTCAGAAATCCCATGGACAAAGGAGCCTGACGTTCTGCAGTCCATGGGGTCACAAGAGTTGGGCATGACTGAGCAACTAAAACCAAACCAGGCATAATTCAAGGTCTAAGGGAAATACAACTAAAATATGACCTCTACTCTAAAGGAACTCACAATCTCATCCTGACATAATCATCTACCCTCTTCTTGCATATATATTAATCGCTTGGAATTTTATTCTTGGTCAATTTTAATTTTGAAAGACCATTTTTTTCATACTGAGTTGAAATTTATTTCTCTATGGTTTCTACACATGGCTTCTGTTTTTCCTCTCTGGAGCAAAGGAAGAATGACTTATATATTTTAAAATATTAGGACAGATATACTATGTTTTCCCATTCACTTTTGAAAGTACATTCTGACCCTTTGCAAGTATTTTCTTCTCTAGGTGAAATATCCTTACTGTCTTCATCTCATCTTCACGTGATATGGTTTCCACTTTCCGCTAGCATCTGCATCATCCTTTCATGGACAGATGCTACTTTGCAGCTATAGATCTTTTAAGTGTATAGCTCAGAACTGCACAGTCTGCTACTGTTGTGGTCTGACCAGCACAGAATATACATATATATATATATGCATATATATATATATTTCTATTTTTTTAATATATTTCTAGAACTTGTAGAAAGCAAATTTAACTGAGAGTCGTGATCTCTAAATGCAAATCCTACTTTGACCACAAACTTGGGGTGGAACCATGAGCAAGGCATCTCACATGTCTAGTCTCAGTTTCCCCATCATTTCTAATCTCTGAAATTCCAAGATTCTAGATACTCAGAAATCAGGCACTATACTTTTGCTATTCTACCTAAGACCACATTAGCTATTTTTGCTGCTCAACTTAAATTCAAAACTCTTTTTAAATAAACTGCTATTAAGCCATGTCATTCACTCATTCCTTCATTCACCACTAATTCATTCATTGTCCATTTATTATCCATTATACATATACTGGGCTCCCCTGGTGACTCAGATGGTAAAGAATCTGCCTGCAGTGTAGGAGACCTGGGTTTGATCCCTGAGAAGGGAAGATCCCCTGGAGGAGAGCATGGGAACCCGCTCCAGTATTCTTGCCTAGAGAATCCCCATGGACAGAGGAGCCTGGCAGGCTACAGTCTGTGGGGTCACAAACAGTTGGACACAACTGACTGACTAAGCACAGCACATATATGTACTGGGTTTCCTTGGTGGCTTAGTCGATAAAGAGCCTGCCTGCAATGCAGGAGCCCTGGATTTGATCCCTGGGTCAGGAAGATTCCCTGGAGAAGGGAATGGCAACCCACTCCAGTGTTCTTGCCTGGGAAATCTCATGGACAGAGGAGCCTGGCAGGCTATAGTTCATGGAATTACAAGAGTCACACATGACTAAATGAAAATGATTGACCCAATACATGTACTGAGGACCACCAAGTACCAGCACCATAATAAGCTATGAGAAGACAAAAATAATTAAGGCAAAGTCCCTGTCTAAAAGGGATCAAATCATCATAGTCCTTGCATTAAAGATCTTGCAGCCTCATTGGTAAGACTGGGGGGTAAATAGTAAAGTATAAAGAATATAACAAAGGCTATGATAACTGCTGGTTCAGTGTCCTTAGGGACCCTGCAGGACGAACCCCCAGACTGAGTAATGTGCCTCTTCACAGGCTGTGAGACACATAAGACTACTTCACCATTTCCCACTCAAACCCCGACTTCTTGCTTCTGAGATTTTATCTGCTCTTGCTCTCCACGCCCTTCTTCATTCCATAATACTCAGAGCGAGTAACAGCTTATCAGTGAGGTCTCTGTGATTTCATTAGCCGTCTTCCTAACATTCTTAGGGTACTTTTCATGTTATTCCTTAATTGTCCACGTAAGTCTGTCTTTCTCTTAGCCTGGGAACAAGAAGGCAGAAAATCAAAGCCCTGCCAATTATTTCCATTTATTGGACAAACATGCCTCTGCCATTCCAGATACCATTCTAGGTGCTGTTCTGTAGCAACGAAGAGGAGAGATCTCGACACTCAGGTTCATATTCTAGCAGAAGTGGAGGTGAGGATTAATCAAACAACAGTCTACAACACCCAGAAGCTAGAAAGCTTTAGACTCTATTTAAAAAATTAAAAATAGAATGAGGTATAGGGTGACTGAGTTTGAGGGGGACTGGATCCCTTCAAGGAGAGGGTAGTATTTAAAGCTTGGCCTCTGAAGCCAGACACAAATGGTCCCAGTCTAAATTCCACTTGAATTTAGACTTGGGCAAGTCACCTAATTACTTTATGCCTTGTATTTAAAAATCAAGAGAAAAATGCTTCCCACACTCAGTATGACTGTTGTGAGAGACGAGGAAGTCCGTGTTGTGCGTAGAACAAGGACACACACAGCGTGAACTTGCAATGTATGGAAATTATTTTTTAGGGATGTAATAAATATTTGTTGCAAAAGTAATTAAGAAGGGAAAACCATATGTCACCAGTTAAATAAGGCATAATAGGAGTCATGTGGTTAGAATTAGAAGGAATCAAGCAATCACGTTCACTCAGAGGAGCGTTTCTTGTCTTTTTCAGGAGAAGAGAGCTATTTCTGGGAAAATAAGACAATGTCCTCTTTTTTTTTTTTTTAATCAAATGGGTCCACTGGCATCATGTCTGAACAAGAGGAGTGATCATTCTTTCACTTTAAAAGAGGTCTGTCCTGATAAAGCACATAGTGTTAAGCCTCTCATGTGTTTCTAGGCACGGGATGAGTGAGTCAATATTTCAGTGACTTTGCAAGGCCAAATTCTTCAATTTCATGAATCCTCGAGGAAAAGTCAGTACAGACTACTGAAATATGACAGAGATTATCTCAAAGTCACATTAGACTCTCCACTAATGCTTATCTTCAGAGGCTACTTCCATTTTCCG